CCCCCCAGTTCAGCTTCCCTCCAGACAACACCACCCCAACACTACCGGAATTAATTCTGTATATTCAAAGTCCTAGATCTGTCAGTATGTCATGGCTTAATCATAAGTGAAGCTAATGGGAGTGCAAATGAACTTTAAGTTAAGCATATATCTCTACAAGCATCCTATTTTGTGGAGATATCAAAGATCTACCCTGTGGAGTCATGTTATCCGACATGTGGGGCTTCTAAAGATGAGTGCAGTTGGGGCTTGCTGCTGGATTCTAGGGTACGGAACACCTTTTGGAGCTGCATTTGATTGTGGCGGGATCAATGAAGTCTTCATTAGTCTTGATGTCTCCCTGTGCTGACACAGGAGCTCAGACCCTGACTAGAGCTACTGCTGGAGGTGGGTCCTGATCCAGCTTTCAGGGAGCCTCAGTCAGATGAGTTTGACCCCTGGGATTCTTTACTATTCTGTAACACAAGGCAATGACAGGACATAACAGGATTGAAGCTTTGAAGAAGCCAGAAGATGGTATACAAGAATACTAACATCAGGGATCAGCAAATATATTAATCTTGGTTTAATTTAATTAATTGTAATATATTTATTCATCTTATTTTGAAAAGGTTGAAGATGATTACCTAGTTTATTTCTAGGGTTACGGTAAAAGAAAAATCAAGGTTTTAATTCATTACAGTGTTATTACATTATTAAAATATAATAGATTAAACATTATTGTATTTGAATAATATAACAGACTTGAGTAAAGACCAACACTTCTCTCTGACTTCAGTGTTTATTTTGGGAGTTTTCAGTATGTTATTTAATCACCATCAATTACTTACAAGCCTATATAACGTTTCCATCAGTGGAAATGAGAGCACATCGGATTCATTCCTTTAATGGAAAGAAATATGAAGTACTTTGGATAGGTCAGATCTCATTAATTTAAATTTTGGTAGGTAGATCCAGCTGGACTGAAGACTTTCAATTGCTAGTCGAAAACACAGAAATCAAAACTTGTTTCATTAAGTTAAAGCACATGTATATCTTTTCATATTTTCTCGTGTAGGGGCCTTTCAGTTAGAAATTGGAATTTTCCAATTCTGTAAAAAGCTATTAAAATAATTATACACTTCTTGATTCCTTCACAAAGAACTGCAAATGTAAACTTGTTATCATGACTTTCCTGTTTCAGGCTTGCCTCCTGTTCCTTCTTCATCAAGAACAAGCTTTGCTGAATTTTCCATTAGGGAACGAATGAGAGAGAAATTAAAAGCTGCAAGGGTAAGCATTTATAAAACATTTTATTCCATCTACCATATTTTACTTACTTAATGCTTCACAAAAGTGAATTACAGATGCTTTTTGTACTCTAAGGATGTTTATTTTTATATCCATAGGTTTTACCCCCCCTATCTAATTCTGTATATTTTCTAAAAGTTAATTTGATTCTTATTTGAAATTTAGAAATGACAGTTGTTTGGAAAAATCTTATTATTTGTATTATAAGCCAAATTTTACCATGTTTATGCAGAGTTTTAAAATGTTAAGGTCCTTTTTGCAATCAATGTTTTTTTTCTGAATTAAAGTTAATATGTAATAAAGGGTAGCAAAATGTTGCTCTGTTTAATCATTTAAGCTGATACTATAGTTAAGAGTCTGTCACAATATTCACATGTATTAAGACTTTGAAGCTGCTGGGATTGATTGTAATATTTACTTATATATGACATAACCAAACCTTTTGTGGGGGGGGGTTCTCAGTCTAAAGCAGAAAGTGCTTTGTTGCAAGAAGTCCCCAGTCTCCCACCACGACGTATAAAAAGCCTCAGAGAGAGGGAATCAGAAACCGTACTGCACGAAGAGGTGAGAAACTGGGTGCGAGTATATGTTCTATAGTGTTATATTGCAAAAAACAAAGATAAAACGTAACTATTAAATATTCAACATCTGTTACATTTGATCAGCATCATAACTTATCTTTCAAAAGCGCAGAGCTGTCACTTTTTAAAGAGTCTGGTAGTTAACCGTAGCTTTCCCAATCAGTGCTTTCAGTGCCCATAATGTACAATACCAACTATTCTGTTCTTTTAGAAAGGCAGCATCTATTACAGTGATTAGGCATTCCAGACTTTGTGTTCCTGTCATTTTAACTTTTTTTTTTTTTTAAATATGGTTGTATTTGGACCAAAGATGCCATTTTATGTATAAATGTTATAGCTTTATATAATTTCTGTGAAAGGCTATACAAATAAAGCTAAACCTTTATGTAAAGGTACAGCGCTATAACAGCTGAACAGGTCTGAATCACTTTTTAATCATTGTATTTCATTATCGGCATTTTGTATTAGCTGTAGTTCTTTTTAGTTAGACACAATCTTTTTTTATTAAAGAAAAATATCTAACATAAAAGTTAAAGGATATTTCACCAGATCCCTAACATTTTTATACTGTAATTTTCAAGTGTGTAATTATCATGGTTCAAATCAAATTGTAAATTTACTTTAAAATGTCTTTGTTTGGGGGAAAGTGTGTGTGTGTTTATCTATATATTTTTTTAAAATACAATGATGAAAACAGGTGTTTTCTAGCTGCCAGGCCAGTATTGTCTTTTTGTATATTTGCATTACTAAATTGTGAAAGTGCTATCCATGCTTATTGATAGTTATCAATTTCTGTATAGGGCTCATTTTGAAATACCTCAAATATGTTTTGCTTCTCCATTTATACTTTCATAAATTGCTGTCACCATAGTAGCTATAATACAATATCAAAACCACATAATCAGGTGCAACTGTCACATTTAAAAAAAAAAAAATGTCCTCATGTTTGCCCTAGTTAATTTGGATTGTTCAGTGTGTGACAGCTCTCTACTTTTCTGAAAACTATTTTATGGTTTACAACTATCTAAAAACTACAGGGTTTTTTTTTTTTTTTTTCAATATTTATAGTGCACATTTTTGTTACATCCAGGGTTTCAGTATTTTTCAGTTTAAACTTCTTTGTTTAGACTTTACTGGAGTCAGGATTTCATTTGAAGTCAATGGGAATTTTGCCATTGACTTCAATGCAGCCAGTATTTTATCCAGTATTTTTTTTTTCAGTTTTTCTTTTCATGGATGTGCATGACTTGTATTTTGAAGTTTGTGATTTGGGGAATTTTAGAAAGCTGAGAGAGATTCCAGTTTTCAGGTTAATATATAAAAACAACATCTTGTATAAAATTATGCTTCTGATATCTTTACAATATATTATTGCATGAATAAAAAAGAATTTCTGTTATCCGGGTTAAAAAGAATGTTGAAATCTACACCTGAATTATCTTGTGTAGACAATTCAGCATGGCATTGAAAAGCCAGAGTGTTTACTGTCAGTACACAGTAGTTATCTGTATGCTCAGTTAGTCAATGTCTTCGTTTTGTTGGGTGTCTAAATAACTCATGTAACTAAAAAGTTGTTTCTATGCAGTCATATAAAGATGAGCCAAGGGAGATACAAGAAGACAAACCCCAAATACCTTCAAGATTAAAGTTTCATGATTCTGTCAAAAAACTCAAGCAAAAGACGCATGTAAGGATCATTTTCTTTAGCTTGTACTCCCTTTATTCTGCGTGCAGCAGCTAGCAAGATTTGGGACCTTAATTTTTAAAATATCCTCCTTGTTATTATGGGCCTTAAGAGTTTCACAATTTAAGATTTTTATTTATAGATACCTATAATTCAAATATAAAGCATAAAATTGAAAAAACAACAAGAATGACTGAAAAAGAAAACTAACAATCATTGGGACGCAATTGGGCCCATAGCATTTCTTATTGGTTATCAGACAAATTTTTCTAACATAGGCCATCATTTGACAGTCTCAGTGATTTATAAAACGATAACCTCTGGTTAATGCACTGGTCCAAGGGAAATGCAAATAATTCTGAATTATCCAGTTGTTACCATTCATCATTATGGGTAGGAGATGCTGGCAGGGAATTGGAACAACAGCAAACTGAACTCTAGGTAAATCAACCAGACTCTTCTTTGCATGTGGCAACAAAATGTTATTAATTGTGTTCTCTTATCATCCAAAAGAGTATTTTTCCTGCCTTTGTCCTTTACAGGCAGAATTTATCCAGAAACTGCTATTTATATATATTTTTTTATTCTCAACATGCAGGGCTATAGCTTTTACAGCCACAACACAACAGACGTATTTGAGATTTTCACAAGTATGTTTTTGTTTGAAAAGATGAGCAAACTAAAATTGAACTAATTAATGTTAAAAGCATTATAATAAATGATTTATTATGTAGTAAATATATTAAAGGTTAAAGAGATTGGTATATAAACTAGTTAATAGCTGTTTTATTTTAGTCAGTTTTAGTATTTATATGATCTATTTTTTTTAATTAATTAAAATGTTACAGTATATTATTTATAAATGTCCCTGGTAATTTTTGTGTGAGAATATTTTTATTTTTACTAAAACAGTTGTAAGCATCTTAAGTAAATGTTGGCCTTTCACCTTAGGTCCAGAGTGATTTTCCTTCTGCAGAGGAAGCATATAATTTTTTTACATTCAATTTTGATCCTGAACCAGAGAATATAAAGAATGAGACCAAGAGCAAGAAAGAGAGAGACTCCAATCAGGAGGAAGAGGTAGAAGAACAAGTTTCTGAAATAAGCCATCAGGAGGAACAAGATGATGATGAAATGGTATAAATCAGAGAGCATATTTTTAGCCAGGTTGCTGTATGCTAACTAATTTTGTTTATCCATTTTGATAAATTGAATTGTATTCTAATTAAAACCAATATCTTTAGGATTTTTGGAAGATTTGCATTCAGATTTTGACAGCCTCTCCACGTGGCAACACTCTCATGACTCATAGTGCTTTGAAAATGTGTCCTGTTATTTATTTTCCTGAATTATACTAATAGCTAATACAACGTATCTATTACAGATTAAATACAACTATTTGTCAATATAAACCCATTTAAAATTTCAAACCTGTAGCCCAGGTACTAAGTAGAATCTGATTTCATTGCATTAGTGCTTTTTCTCCAATAGTAAAATACTTCCTCCTTAACGGTTTTATAAAATAGTTAATGCTCTTGATAGAGAAGCCTAATAAGACTTCATAGGCTTAGATGAGAAAAAAAGCATTCCTTTGTAAAGTGAACAAATCAATAGACTTTGTGTAGAAGTTGTCCAAAGTTTAACAAAGAGATCAGAGAGATAATATTAGAGACTGTTGTTTCAAGACAGTGTAAAAACCAGATGAAAAGGTATAAAGTAAAAGTGATCAAAGTTGATAACAGATCGAACAATCTTTTTTCACAAGTTTTTCTGTTCATTCCAAAAGGATTGCTTGAGTAATATATTCCTTAGAATGAGTAAGTTTGGCAGGATCTGGTCCTAATTAACACATTTATTAATACATTAAACATTTTGTTAAAATTAACTGAATTTTATTTTATTTTAACAATAAATAGTGTTCTGGCAGCTTGAGGATATTGAAGTTAACTTGGATCATTCCAGCATATGAAGATAAATAATGTGCTTTACAACTAGAAGATGGCTTAAATAAAACATGCTTTTTTCTGTTGGCATGCAAACTGGTGACATTAATATTCTCCAGCTTAGTGTTTAATACTAAAAAAAGAAGAGCAGGTTCAACTGCCAGCTAATAATTTTTCCTTTATATAAAATATAGGATGAAGAGGATCACCTTGTTAAAGAAGATGAGTTATTCCTAATAGAACAGACGGTCAGTGATTTTTTGGTAGTAAAACCTGCAGGTTATGAAAGCTATTCTGAGCGACTGAAGAAGGAAAGAGACAATCTCTTCATTCCCAGCATGAGAACAGGTATACAAGTCTCCCCCTTCTATTGTTTATTAGATAGCATAATATTATTATTGTAACTCCAGTTGCAACAGGTAAGTAACCCTTCTTAAACAGGATTCTCAAACAGGATGCCACAGCACCTTGGGGTGTCTTGCGATCCTTTCAAGAGTGCCATGAGATGCCACACAGTGATAGCACTGTTAGTTGTGCAAGCAAGGTCAACAGGATAAACCCAGAGATTTCAATAAGAATCTATAGTGTTAAAACCATTCTGATCTGCTATGGTCTCTCTTGAGTTCTTTGCAACAGAAAAATTATTCTTTTGTTTCTCTGTAATCAAAAAATAAGTTAAGCTAAGAAGTTGCATTTCTGAGGGGTGCCGTGATACTAAAAAAGTTGAGAACCACTGCTCTAAAATGAAGTCCCTTTAAGTATTATGAGTAATGAAATATTTTTATTTAATGTGTATAAAGCATGCTTAGTATTCTTATAAAGCTATGCTAGAGATTTGTCCTGCTCATAGAAATGAGAACTGCTTGTGTGTGTGTGTGTGTTGTCTATACACTATGTCTATATATATATATATGAGGGCCACTGGGGGCCCCTCAGCTAATTGGTGGCAGGAGTCAAAAGTGGCGCCATATTTAAAACCATGGTTTTCACTTCCCTGCTGGTCAGGAGCAAGTGGGGAGCAGTGGGGTCCCTCTGTCAATCAGTGGTGGGAGGGAGGTATGTGGGGAAACCTGCAAGATTAAAGGAGCTGCTGTGCACTCCACTTCTGCTGCAAATTAGGTAGGTCCATATTTATACATGTGCTTTTATGTATATATACATACATACATACATGGGCAGATCTAGAATTTGAAAAAGGGGAGTGCAGGTGTTGTGGCACACCATCACATATAACATAGGACACTCTTTTCTCCAGTTAACCAGAAATGAGAAACTTGACTAATACATGAGGGATCTGTCACTTTTATTCAGTTTAAGATCCAAGCAAAAGCTAATATAACTTTATTGGAGTTTATACTGAACAGTACTGAACTTTATTGTTCAGTGATTTGTCAATTTAGATATTAAGTGTAAAAAGCACAAGCCAGGCAAGACATAGTCAAATGATATTGCCCCTTTAGTCCTGTGGTTATTATAGCTTAATGTATGTCTTTCATTATGATTTCTGGAAAAAAAAACCCAACACTCCCCACCCAAACTAGCCTCCCTACGTTCTTGACAATGCTTCCAATACCTCATTGTCATAGATTCATAGATGTTAGGGTCGGAAGGGACCTCAATAGACCATCGAGTCCGACCCCCTGCATAAGCAGGAAGGAGTGCTGGGTCTAGATGACCCCAGCTAGATACTCATCTAAC